ACAAAATTAATAAATTAGGGACATTTAAGCAAATGTCAAACATCACTAATATGTCACTCACCCAGTACTCATTTGTGAGGACAATTTGAGTATGATTTAAGTGACTCATTGAAGTAGAATTGTTTATGAATACGATTAGGGTGAGTTGAGTATGAGATAAGTGTGAGTGGAACTTTAGTGAGATCTATGAATTTGGGCCTTATTTTGATACTAAATTAAATGACATTATATAGTGATTGCATAAAAAAGTAATATTAATTCTTGGAAGACTGAAAGTGGTACTTTATTACATGGGGTTCCACAGAATACAATCAATATTTTCTAAATAATTTCAGAAGAATTTTCAACAAGATTTTTTTATCTTTCGTTTCGCATGTCTAGAGATATACCACAGACAAAATAGCTATCGCGACAGACCGCTACTCAAATAGGCCAGCAGTTTTAAATTTCCGAATTGCCGGTAGAGTACACCACCAGTAGAATTTTAGTAAGAATCAAATGCAGCGGCCCGCATACCTACGCCCATCCTAGCAACATATAAACAAGACTTTGGTAATGTTGCCAGGCGTACTTTCGGATTTCTTTTGTACACTTTTTTATCAATATCTGTTTTTTGCGTTACTGTATTTACTTAAATGTATGATGTAGTATTTGATAAAAATGTTTTTAAACAATCAACGAATATATATGTAGTTTCATATGATATTCTGCATCGGTGTTACAATTAAGTTATTTAATCATAATTTCGTTAATTATCTACCTACTATTTTCATTTTTTTGGTATTGAAATTCTGCAGAAAATATATTTCCAAATAAACAAAATTCGTAATGATATTTTAAACAGCTTGTAATATAATTTTTTTAATATTTGATGATGACGATAAATTTATTTAATATACAAGATGGGTTATTAGTACGTCGCGGAATGTAGGTACAGGTTTTTTTTTTGTATTTTGAAATCCACTTATAGGTTTAATAATTAAAGGTAGAAAGAAACTTTAAATATAAATGTACAACTTTTCCTTTATTTCTTTTGATATCAAAATTTGCTGGCGTAAAATATATATGTTTAATATTAAAAAAAAAATCATAAAAAAATATAAAATTCATCCTTATGAAAGTAACAAACAACGATTTTTGGTGTTCGTTGACGGGATTCTTCCTCCAAAATAAATTTGCCAATATTCCTGAAGAACTTTTGCACATTATTGTTATTTGAATAATACAGTTAATTACGTTTTATTTTTCGTCATCAAAATAACCCACTGTAATTTTTTTTAATGTTTTAAATTAAAATGGGTTATTCTAATAATGATAAATCCCATGTATTTTTAAAAGAAGGTTCGTTTCTGTCGTTTTTGTCTGATTGTGTGCTAGAGAGATAGAGTTATAGTGTATGATAGAGTGACTCTGTCCTCATAGAGGGCTTCTCTCTCTCTCTCTCTCTGCTGTCTTCAGGAGTCTCTGGGGCTTCCCCAACAATTTCAGGACACCTAGGGAGGGAGCATGGGATAGAGCGCGTGGCCTTCTTAACCTTCGTTATCGATCTATGTCACACAGTATGAGAAAAAAAAAACGGTTTTTGCTCGTAACTTGAAAATGGCTTGAAATATAAACAAATTTCCCCTTGGTTCTGAGTAGAGCACTCGGTGGGTGACGCAGAGCGGAGTGTCACAATATATGAAAGAAAAAAAAAACAGTATTTGCTTGGACTCTAAGTATCAAAAAATCTCCCATGGTTCTGATTGGTGATCGAGTGGAAAACGTTAAAACCCGCATGTCAAAAAGAAAAAAATCGGGACTAACGATGTGTGACATCATAGGATAAAAAAGTGTTTATAACTCAGAAACGGTGTGTTGAATCGAAAAAATAATTGAAAAATTTCCCCATCCACCCGGGTTCTGTATGTTCCTTCTGTGTTGAATGCAAAAGGTCCTAAGTACATATGTAGAAAATAAATTTCTGAAACAAGAGGTGCGTGAGGTGATACAGTAAAAAAGGTCTTATAATTCGGAAACGGTGCGTTGAATCGAAAAAATAATTAAAAAAACCTTCCCACTTCTCTGGTTCTGATTGTTCGTTCTGCGTTGAATGGAAAAGGTCCGAAGTCAGAATGTCGAAAAACAAAAAAGTTAGTCAAAAATTGCAACAGCAGTAGCGAACACATTATCTTATCTCTGTATTGATTGATGATTTGTTGTTTTTTTTTTTTTAATAAATTTCGTATTCAACTACTCCTTGAGGTTCCAGCAATTTTACATTGTGTTAATTTTTTTGAACACCTTGTGTCACAAATATGAGCAATACCAATGGCATCTTTGATATGCAACACTTGTGTCAATAATTATTTTACCTATCTAAAGAAATCAACAATAAGAGAGCAGTACCCATTTAAGGATACACAACCTGTATAATGCAATTTTTTTCGAAGTTTTTGAATTCTTCCATTCCAAGGTGACATATAATAAATAATTAATTAGGTAAATTTATAGTTTTAATTCTAACTTGATTTATTTTATTCAGCATTTAAGGCAAATTTGATTTCCAAACAGAAGATAAGTTCCATATCTCTTTATCGTACCAAATTGGAAGTCGACGGACAAATCTAAAAACATTAATTTCAAGTTTTTGAACTCTTCCATTCCAAGGTGACATAAAATAAAAAATTAATTAGGTAAATTCATAGTTTTAATTCTAACTTGATTTATTTTATTTAGCATTTAAGGCAAATTTTATTTCCAAACAGAAGATAAGTTCCATATCTCTTTATCGTACCAATGGAAGTCGACGGACAAATCTAAAAATATTAATTTCAAGTTTTTGAACTCTTCCATTCCAAGGTGACATAAAATAAATAATTAATTAGGTAAATTCATAGTTTTAATTCTAACTTAATTTATTTTATTTAGCATTTAAGGCAAATGTGATTTCCAAACAGAAGATAAGTTCCATATCTCTTTAATTACATAATTGAAAGCATTAAATTTATTTAGCAGCAACAAAGCCACCGCTGGAACTGCCGCCTATTACCAAGTAGAGAGTTATCACGCTAAATTTCATTGATGGATGCCGGCTAACAAAAGCCTGCATCCATTTCGGGTTGCCAATTTCCAGCATTTAAGAAGCAGTCTGTGGCAATAAGCTATATTATCAGTGGATATACTGTAAAGGTTATATTTCCTGATGATTTATCTGCATAATGTATTTTATTAGATAATTAAATCTAACGGTGATATTCGATGACGAAAAAGCATTGATCTGTGTCACCGATTTCTTAAAAATTGTTATTATAATTAAAGCAGAGAGGGGGTTAGGATAGATAACTATAAAAAAGGGTAAAGGGTAAGAAAAGAAGACATTGTATAAGTATATTTCTTAAAATATAGAAAATATCCAATATGCTCATGTCCAGAGAGCTGTAGATGAAATTAAAAAATATCACTCTTTGTACTCTCCAATTTTTACTGAGATAACATAAATTAAAACCCTTCGGCTGATTAGAAGTTTCAGACACACATCGACTTTGACTTTGAACAAACTCTTCGATACGCTTTCAGTTAACAGACTTCATTTGTTTTTCGTCTAATTTTTATTGTTCGAAGGCGAAAAACACTTCGAGATAAACACCAATTTATATACCGACACTCCTCGAAGCGGAATATAAATAAGTGGCGTTTTTTAGGACTTATTTTTCTTGCTCTTATTTGTAATTCCCTAGATAATAAATTTGTCGCTTAGCCAACTTCTTTGAGAGATGATAAATTAGGGCCTATTGAGATTACAGATACAAAGTATTTCGAAAGTTATTTATTATACCTATCCGAAGAATGACAAAAAAATATTATCTTACTTTCTACATGAGCGGGAAAAGGGGAATTATTCTTCTGGGAGGAGAAAACTCACGTAGAAATTACCGTCTGATACGCATTTGGAAAAGTTTAACGCGCTCTCTGTAAAACATTACGCCATGTTCTTTAAATAATCACTATCGTTATATGTATTTCAGAAGTTCAGAAATATTTATAAAATGTTTGTTACATTTTAACTTTTCGCATTGTCCTTGCAACGAGAAAAAACAGAAGCGGACAGAACTAGATGCCTTTGTAAAAGAATTAAAGTTAGAATATTGCCTGTATTTACTATTCCTCTGAAAATGTGATTTATTTATTTATTTTACAATTTAGGATGTAGTGGTTTCAAATGTGCCGCGAAAGTGTGCGGGGTGCCGGGAGAGGGTGTGTGCGTAAGTGGGGACAGTCTGGAGACCGTCCGGGGAGATCGTCGAGAGCTGTTGATGGGGACAGACGATTTCTTATTAACTTGTATTGTGTCTTAATGCAAAAGCAAATTTGTATTCCGATTTATATAATACATGTTGAATAAATTGGTTTCGGAAATCGTGTTCTTTGAATCCGACGAACCCAGCACATTTGTGGCGACCAACTAGTGGCAAATACCCACGACTGAAATCAAGGTGTGCTCATGCTCTACAGTCTACGTTTACAGAGTAATTGAGTTTTCCAAGTGAAGAAGCAGTGGTAGCAGTACCAGAGTTACAGCTGTAGCAGAAGAGGTGAGAATCGAGTATTTGAAGCGAAAGAAGCAGGGAAGCAGCTGCGAGGCAAAGTTGAACAAAAAGTCGACCTTGGTGGCGCATTCCATCCAGACCGGCAGGCGACAAGGGGTGTCCAATATCCAGTAACCGAGATAGGCGAGAACGTGTGAGAAAGAGAGAAGACAACGGAAGCAGCGAGGCAGAGCAGGAAAGCGATAGGGTAAACAAGATAGCAGGTGGTGAGCGAATTCCAGGTTTTTTCTACCTATTTGCGAACATTGCGAACTTAGACATTTATTTCTTTGAACATTCCGAAATATACCGACAGTATTAATGCACATTGCACTGTAGGTTATTTTGAATTTATAAATAGTTACCTAGTATTTTTGTAATAACAGGTTATAAGATTTTTATATAAACGGCAGGGCAAATAATATTGTGAAAATGCCCAGGTCAAAGGAAAGTAAAGAAACTAAAGAGAGTGACGAGTACGTCATAAATTTAGAAAAAATGTTAGGACAAATTGCAGAGGGCATGTTGAGTTTACAGTCAGCAGTAGGAGTGTTGGCTTCTAATATACAAAAATCCAATTCAGATGCTAGTACTGACAAAAATCAGGCTAATTTAAATAGTTCTAAAGATGTTTTGCATGATAGGTCATATCTTGTTAATTGGAGGGAACTAGGGGGAAGTAATTTAACTTTTTATCCAAACAGTAAGTGCCATCCAATGCAGTTTTTGAAAAAATTAAATAAGATTTTTGAGGAAGCCGGTGTGCCGGAAGAACGTAAAATGAGTTTAGCTACAGGGTGTTTAAGAGGTACCGCGGCGGATTGGGTAGCTGTAAAGGAACCTTCTTTAAAAACATATGAGGAGTTTGTACATTCTTTTAAGAGTAGATTTTGGGGTATTGACAAACAACGCGAATTATTTTTAGAAATACAGTACGGGCGTTTTGAGTCAGGTAACCGATCTGAGTACTTTTTGAATTTGATTAATCAGGCAAGTTTTTTGCAAGAGAAAATTTCTGATAAAGATTTAATCGAAAAAATTTCCAAACACTTTCCTACCGAAGTACGCAGGGGCATTATTACACAGGGTTTAAATACAATCGACAGTGTCGAAGAATATCTCCGGAAAATTGACGACACTTATGATGAAAAATCAAACGATATTAGTAGGGCGGTAAATAGAAACAATTTCGCACCTAATAATAACAGTAGTAATAGGAGATATATTCCGAATAATAGTAATCAAAATAGAGATAGAGATAACAATGTTCAAAACGACAGGAACGAATCTGCAAATCAGAGACGTCAAGTTAACTTAATTACGCAATTTAATAAGAGTACCGAAAATTTGTTATGTGTTGAAGAGGAACAAATAAATAAATGTGATGTGATTATGCCAATAATACAGGGAAAAATCGGGAACAATGAAACCGGTATATTAATAGATAGCGGCAGCGAGATATCCGCAGTAGCTGAAGATTATTTTAATACTATTAAGGACGATGTTAGGGCACCAGTACTACCAGTGGCAGGCGTTACTATTTCGCTAGCAGTAGGAGGTAAAATGCAGAGAGTAAAACATCAAGTTTTACTACCTATAACAATTGATAATATCAGATTTGAAGTTATTTGTCTTATTGTACCGAAATTAAATAGAGAGATGTTGTTAGGGTCCGATTTTTTGTCTAAACATAAAGCTGAACTTAATTTTAACGAGTTAACTTTGAGAATATTACTAGATAATAAAATTTACAATTTAAAATTCGATTACAAAATTAATGATGGGAAATCATTATTTATTAATCTATGTAAAGAGGAAGAAATAGGTGGGAAACGCCCAAGTATAAGGGGAAAACACAGGTATAGTGATAGCGATTTTCAATCAGCGGTTGAAAAATCAAATTTAAATAATGAAAACGATAAGGAAAAATTAAAGGTTCTTTTAAATAACCATTCAGAATTATTTTCAGAATGTCCCGGGTTAACAAATGCATATGAACATGAAATCTTTTTACATAACGACGATCCATTTTATGTACGTTCGTATCCAATACCGATAGTTCATCGTAAAGATGTAAATGAGCAAGTTAAGGAGATGTTAGATTGGGGAATTATAAGCGCTGAACACACTGAGTATGTATGTCCACTTGTTACAGTTACGAAAAAGGATAAGTCGGTAAGAGTATGTTTGGACGCGCGTGTTTTAAATAATCGTATGAATAAGGACTATATTCCACCACCAAATGCAAACGAGTTGTTATTAAGTTTTAAACAAGGTCAAATACTAAGTAGTGTCGATTTGACAACTTCTTATTGGCAAATTCCAATAAAGAAAAGTCACCGTAAATACGTCGGATTTTTATACGAGGATCAGACATACGTTTTCAACGTATTACCCTTTGGTTTGTCTACTTCAATGGCCAGTCTTATCAGATGTTTAACTAAAGTTTTGGGGGGAGAATGTTCAAATTTTACTTTTTGTTATGTGGACGACTTGTTAATCTTTTCGGATAACATTGAAAAACATTTCAATCACTTAAACATTATTTTTAATAAATTAAAAGATGCGGGGTTTACAATTAAATTAAGGAAATCACAATTTTTCCGCGAAACAATATTATTTTTAGGACATATTATTTCATCTAGGGGTATATCTATAGACACTAATAGGATATCAGCTATTGAAAAATTTGGTGTTCCACGGAATTTAAAGGAATTAAGAGGCTTCTTAGGCCTTGTGAATTACGAACAACGTTTCTGTCAAAATTACGCCGATTTAACAATTCCGTTGTTGAAGTTATTAAAAAAGGGGGTTAAATGGAACTGGGGGGTTGAACAACAAGAGGCTTTTGTTGCTATAAAGCGAGCTTTCTTACAAACGACATTACTAATTCATCCAAATTTAGAAGATACGTTTTATGTACAATGTGACAGTTCGAACTACGGCGTGGGGGGTTGTTTATATCAAATTGACACGAAATCGGGAGAAAAGTGCATAGTTGCATTCACTAGTAGAACATTAAAAGGCGGCGAGTTAAACTATACGGTGTCCGAAAAAGAAACGGTAGCAATAGTGCATTGCTTGCGACAGTGGCGTACCTTTGTTTTGGGTCGGAAACTTGTTGTCATAACAGATCATAAATCTTTGACATTTTTATTGAAAAGTAAATTACATAACGCTCGGTTGGCTCGTTGGGCATTATTTTTACAAGAGTTTGATTTTGAAATATTACATTGTAGTGGTAAGGATAACGTAATGGCCGATATTTTATCGCGCTATCCCTTAAAAGAAAGTAGCGAATTAAAACCGGATAACGAAGATAACGTTGAACTCTTTTTGATGAATGTATCTCCAAATTATAAGCAATTAAGGGAAAATTTTAAAAATCTGCGGGATGATCAAATAAACGACGAAAATTTTAGGAATAAAATAATATTTTTAGAAAGATATTCGAAAGAAGTAAGAGTTATTACAGAAAAGGAATTGAAAGTCTTAGAGTGGTATGTGCTACATGAAGGGATTTTATTTAAGCGTGGAAATAATTTAAATAGGGGTTATAAACTTTGTGTTCCCAAAAATCAAAGAATCGAATTAGTTAAAGCTCAACATGCAGAAATAGGACATTTTGGTAAAAGTAAAACGTACGATCATATGAAAACGAAATTTTATTGGCAAAAAATGCAAAAGAATATCCGAAAAATTGTTGCCTCATGTGATATATGTCAGAAAACTAAATGTAGTCAAACCAGTTCTAAATTATTAACACCCATTGTTGTGAAAGAACCAGCGGAATTAGTCTGCGCAGATTTGATGGGACCATTACCTGTTTCTAGGGGAGGTGCAACGATGTTATTAGTTGTAGTTGACGCTTTCACTAAATATGTTAAATTGTATGCCTTAAGACGCGCAACCACCGTTACTATTCTAAATAAAATCATGAAACATTATATACCGAGTGTTCAAAAACCTCGATGTATATTGACGGACAATGGGACGCAATTCACGTCAAAATTGTGGAAAAATACATTTAAAGATGCTCATATAAAAGTTAAAACGACATCCGTATATTTTCCGCAGGGAAATATAACTGAGCGGTATAATAAAGAAGTAGGTCGGTTATTAAGAATGTTTTGCCATGAAAAACATACAAAATGGGCGTGTTGTCTTGAAACGGTTGAATATTGTTTAAATAACGTTGTAAATGATAGTACGGGGTATACAGCTACGTTTCTACAGACAGGGAAGGTAACTACTAATTCAATAGAGGAAATTATAAATTTTCCAAAATGTGGACATGAAGCCGACGGTATCGTATTGGAACATTTTTGGGTATTAGCGCGGGACAGATTGCGTTCAAAAGCGGAGCGTCGGGCTGACAAAGCTAATCGCGGATGTAAACCAACTATTTTTAAGGAAGGTGACGCGGTTCTTGTTAGAGTCCATGCCCAATCCTCAGCCGAGAATCGTACCATAAGAAAATTATTTTTACTATATGAGGGTCCTTTTTACGTTCTTCGTCAGGCTGGTCCAAATTCCTATATCATAGCCGATAAAACAGGAAGAGAAATTGCGAAACATAATATTATTAATTTGAAAGCATATAAAACTCCTGATGTTGAGTGTGACTAGTATATCTTGTGTTCTGTAATGTTTTATTATAATATTTTAATATTTACCTGTTTGTTTATTGATTGAAAAATTAGTTTTCTTAAGTTTCTATACTTAAATGCCGTTAAATACTTGTAAACTCTATTTAAGTAGGGGGGTGATGTAGTGGTTTCAAATGTGCCGCGAAAGTGTGCGGGGTGCCGGGAGAGGGTGTGTGCGTAAGTGGGGACAGTCTGGAGACCGTCCGGGGAGATCGTCGAGAGCTGTTGATGGGGACAGACGATTTCTTATTAACTTGTATTGTGTCTTAATGCAAAAGCAAATTTGTATTCCGATTTATATAATACATGTTGAATAAATTGGTTTCGGAAATCGTGTTCTTTGAATCCGACGAACCCAGTACAAGGAGTATTACAGGTTAAAAACCTACAACAGTTTCCACTAATTTGCTAATACACTGTGTCCCAAAATGATGAAACAAAATTCATATTTTTTTCCAGTTCTGACTTTAAAAAATCGCTGAAACAGGTCAAAGAAAATAGAAATTTTCACTTTTCTGCAAAATTTTATATATATTTTATTTGAGTCATGTTTGACAGACCTACAACACCAACATTTTTAATGGGGCGCTCTATATTTTATAGTATAAATAGATAGCCCTTCTAATGATGAATTCAGCGATATAAGGTTATACCAATTTTTTTTTTCATAGTTGCCAAAAAAATGTAACAAATTGTCTTTTATGTCGTACTGACAACTATTTCAAACAATCATAGTCTCTTCTGTACTTTAAAAACGTACCTACTCTTTATTAACCTTTTTCTACTTACTTTAAAAAAAAATAATCGATAAAAACATAAAATTCACCGTAGTACCTTAGGTATAATGTGAATCGTTTTAGTTCCAATTCATTCCTTTTTAAATTATTTTGAAAAATGGTTGATAGTTTAAGCGAAAAACGGAGCATTGAAATTTTAATTATGATTGGATGCTGAGATAAAATCCGTAGTCAAGAGGAGCTATGTGACTTATTTCGCCATAAGTATCCAGATCAGAGAATTAGTCGAGCTACAATAAGTACAGAATCCAAAAAATTTTAAGAAACCGGAAGTATAAAAGATTTACCTGGATCAGGAAGACGAAGCGAAAATGAAAAATCCTCACTCCTCCATTAGATCTGTCTCAGCCAACTTCAACTTGTCGAAATCCTCAATTCACAGAACTCTGAAGTCTCAATAGTGGCATACTTACAAAGTTAACGTCTTACAAGAACTTTGGGCATATGACACAGACAGAAGATTACAGTTTTGCGAGGAAATTAGAAATTTGAATGACAACCCAACTTAAAAAATCACATAATTTTCACTGACGAAGCAACTTTCTGCTTAAACGGAACCGTGAACAGGGAAAACACTAGGTTTTGGAGCCTAGAAAATCCGCATTGGATGCAAGAAAAACATACACAATGGCAGGAAAAAGTGAATGTTTGGGCTGGAATAGTAGGAAATCGTTTGTCACATTACTTCAACAGAGAGCTGCCGACTACTATCTTATTCTTAGTTCATCTGACTCTTTATTCTTCATAACTAACTGAATGTATGTTTTAATAATACCCCAGGATTCTTCTCATTCCAGCATACGAGGTAATAGATTCTCCCTTGTTATCGGCATGTGAAACCGCATATTAATTCATTTTCAGTCTTTTCTATTTTGTGTATGCCTTAAAGACCCCATGTCCGCTTAGTGCCTGCGTCAGATAGAAGTCCAACGTACCATGTATTCTTTCTATCCATGACCTAATGCTTGTAATCAGTATACGAGTCCATCCACCTTTTCCTCGCTTTCCCATTCTCTCTGCCACTTATTCATCGCTTTTTCATGTGCTTCGCCAGATCGGGAGGAAGTTCGCTATCAAATCTTTCCATTCTTGAGCCAGGATATGAATTGGCA